TAGTAGAGAAACAGGTCTTCTCTCCAAGTGCGGAATTGTAAAGCGCCCAAACAATTTGAGCTATCTGGTCAGTGCAGACCACAGTTAAAAAAAAATCTTGTGAACGAAGTGCTTTGCACCTGTGTTTGATTGTCATGGTGGAAGTTTGCTTTTAGTTTCTGTGCATTCAGTAATATTTAATATCTAATATTAAAGTCACAATCATTAATTAAGCCCTAATATTTAAGTCACAGTGCCTGAAGGTGTTGCTAAGGAGCAGGTTTCAGAAACTGAAGATTTCATTTCCAGCTAAAATGAAAAAGAAGATTTGTTCTTCAGGTACACTTCTTGTGATCTTGCTGGACAAAAGACTAACAGGAGCTGAGGTTTCAGTTAAAAATAACTGAAAAAATACCTCCTGCACTTGGGACGAATCAGACGATTTTAGCATAATCTATACCTGTAGTGTCCAGTCCGGTTCCTGGTGACTCCCAGTCCCTCAGGATCTTCATTCAGAGTCTGAGAATTACTGTACATTAATCTCGGATAATAAAGCCAACACCTGATCCAAGAGGAATTGGAATACCAGAAGCTCCTGCAGCTGTCTGGACCAGGGCTAGGGTGCTGCTTAGCTAAACTATAAGAAAATCTCAGCTACGCTTTCGGTCTGACAGAAGGGGCAGAGATGTGATCAAAATGCAGGGCCTGCCTGCCTCCTCTGATTGCTGCTGTCTGGCAGCCCTGGGGTGACACCTCATTACCTCCTCCGAGCTGCCCGTCAGCACAAATCCCAAAACTGTTTCCTTTCGCTGTCCGCCCACAGAGCTGCCGCCCCCCCGTTCCTCGCACTCTCGCTGTCCGCTCGGCCATCCCAGAACGCTCCCCGCGGCCGCGGCGAGTCCGATGTCAGCAGGAGCCCCACGGCGCCCCCAGAACGGAGGACTGGAGTGGCACCAGCTGGCCCACAGTGCAGTGCGGACAGGAGCAAGTCAGCCCTGAACTAGGGGCCCTGCTGGACAGCAGAGGTCACATGACACAGAAAAGCTCCACATGGCACATGTGAATGGCAACGGGTCTCACCTAGAGGACGGTTCAGGGGCCTTGCTTCATAATCACTGGGATGGCAAGCCCTGTGAGAGGAGAGCAGGGCTGCTCCTGCTGCTGCCCTGTGAAAGAGTTCTGATCAGGAGGAAGATGTCTGGAGACACTTTCTTATGTTTTCATTTTAGGAGGCACCTCTCTTTGAGGCAGGAGCTAGGCGGCTAAGAGTCCAGATTTCCCTGACAAAAATGTGGAGGCAGGGGTTATTCTGTCCGTTCCCGGTACTCCAGGTGATTTCCTGGTGTCGGTGACCTGCTGGACTGTTGCTGTGCCCAGTGGAAGACTCAGATGACGAAGCGCTCTGGCGCTGAGCAGGTGTCAGCCCCGCCAACTCAGCCCGTCATCGAGACGTGTGCATCTGTTACAAACCGCTGTACAGGCCTCTCCCTGCTGTACTGACCACTGAGGCTCAGTCCAGCCCCCAGGGGGCCCTGCGTGTACCCTGAGGTGAGGGGGAACCATGCCTGGGCACCTCATGTGGTACACCCTCTAGTGTTCAGACTGACGAAGTGCAAACTGCTGTGAAAGTTCTGCTAAAACAGATTTTGTACAACCTGTAAGAAGAAGACAAACGCTTTCACACTGGACTTTCTGAAGTGTTTCTAAATAAAATCCTCCACTCTAAATTTCATACAACATTTGCCTCTTTTTTCACAATCATTCATTGCATTTGCAGAGCACATTTCATCCCAAAGGATCTCACTGTGCTGCACATTAAGGGGGGGACCCACTTCAAGCACCACAAAAACTCTGGCGTTGTCGCAAATGTCAAAGATGCACGTACATTTCGCACCTGATCTGCCCGCTGTTTCCTTTTTAAACTCTGTCTGCATGTAGAGCTCCCCTGTTTGTCTTGGTTGCCTGAACTGAAGACCTTTGTCTATGTGTGATGCGTGCACCAGGCTGCCCAAGGGTGCAGCACCGCTGGGATGGGATAAGATAATCAATATTCCAAAACCGTCCACAAAATTCGCTAGCACAGCTGCCAGGAATGCACGCCCACATTACCAGACAATGCTGAAATTCACTTGTGTGCCTAATAACGTGTTAGGCATGGAAATCTTTCAGTCGAATCATGATGTATTTTTTTACTGCAGAGTCAAACATTTTTGCCTCGGCTGCAAGGCCGGTACAGGCGGAGCACATCTGGTTTATAATCTGTTGTGTTCAGTATTTGGTTGCATTGATCCCTGCGTCTTTTTCTGTTTTAGGTGTGGCACAGGAAGTGTCTGCGCTCAGAGAATAGTCTGCAGAGGCTCACCTCTCCTGCAGCTACTGTATATCACCCTGCACCTCACCACTGGCAGCCCACTGAAGCCCAGCAGGTGTGAGCCTGGTCAGTACCTGGACAGGAGACCTCCTGGGAAAGCTGAGGCTGCTGATGGAAGAGGTGTTAGTGGGGCCAGCAGGGGGCGCTCACCCTGTGGTCTATGTCAGTCCTAATGCCCCAGTACAGTGACAGGGACACTATACTGTAAAAAGGCGCTGTCCTTCGGATGAGACGTAAAGCTGAGGTCCTGACTCTCTGTGGTCATTAAAAATCCCAGGGTGTTTCTCGAAAAGAGTAGGGTTGTAACCCTGGCAACCTGGCCAAATTTCCCATTGGCCTTCACCAATCATGGCCTCCTAATAATCCCCATCTCTGAACTGGCTTCAACACTCTGTTCTCCTCCCCACTGAGAGCTGGTGTGTGGGGAGTGTACTGGTGCACTCTGCTCTCCTCCCCACTGAGAGCTGGTGTGTGGGGAGTGTACTGGTGCATCATCCAGGTGGGGCTGCACACTGGTGGTGGTGGAGGGGATCCTCATTACCTGTAAAGCACTTTGAGTGGAGTGTCCAGAGAAGCTGTATGTAAGTGTGAGGAATGTTATTATTATTATTATTAGAGATGGAGATGGGAGTCAGGTGCACAGAATACTTCCTGCCTGCATTCATTCCAAAGACTTCCACTCTTTCAGAGAAAACTGTTTACAAACTACCAGCAGAGCCGAGAGAGATGTCTCTGATATCACTCAGTCTAAAGTCAGCCTGCAGGTTTTGCTGCTTGTTTGTGTTTCTCCCATGCTGGACTTTCAAAACTAGAAGTTGACAATATAACATGAACCACTGTTACAAAAATTAGGGACAGCATTCTTGTGCTGCAGCTAACGTGATTTTTAACATATCGATCAAGCAAATTGCGCTGGAGTTTGTGGCGTATCTGAGCTGTTTTCATATGGATGGTGGGATATGGAGCACGATTACAACAGAAACTTGTACCAGGTGCATTATAAATCTGCAGCCCTTTTTCTATGCACTTAAGGTCCTGAGTACAAGACACATTTATGACAATCTTTTTCTCCATTTTTCATTTAAGAACTGCATCTTTCATCGTATATATCTCAGTCCAGCTCGGACTTTATTCCGCACGGCAGGTTTTCATGGCTTTTCACAGCATGTGTGAATTTTTCCTTAAATTCCCAAACAAAACCATGGAAACAACATAAGGCACTTGAAAAGCCTTCTGTGACCCCTGCCTGGGTAAGGATAATAATAATAATAATAATAAACTTTATTTTATATAGCGCCTTTAAAAGTGGCTTCTCAAAAGAGGCTTCTTAAAGGATGCCTCTTTAAAGCAGGTCAGCCGCTGCCACTCCACGGCCCTGCCCTGCTCAGCTCGGCTCAGTGTGCCAGCGTCCCCCCAGTGCAGACCGCGGGCCGCGAGCCGCGACCTGACCTCACACCGCCTCCTCAGGTCGCGATTCCAGAGGCTATTTATACACAGGCCTGCTGTAGGAGTCACACAAGGCCGGGGATTAAGCCTCGAGAGAGAGGTGGCATCACTGAAACAGGCCACATCTCCCATCGAAACTGTAAGGTTTGTCGCAGCCCTTCTTTCACAGATTGTTCACCTTTTATTTTCCGCAAAAGGATCCTTTTCAGAACCAAACCCATGAAAGCATCCACTGGGGTTACGGAGAGGGCTACCTGACTTCGGGCTACATGAGAAGTCGGTACGGTCAGTGAGGCCTGTCAAATAAATCAGGAGGTTGGCTGAAATGTGAAATTGCTCATGACAATAAACGACCAATGAACAACAAACAATGACTGAGTCACTTTCCTGGAAACCAGGCCCCCAGTGTGTGCCTGTGTTGAAGACAGGAGCACCTCTGCCCTCAGAGTCCCTCAAGGACTGACCGCTACCCTGTGACCAGACCTTTCCTTTGGTGGGAATCCCTCCTTATTTCACTCATTTGTGCCACAGCATGAAAACGCAAAGCCACACATCTCCATACATTTACAAAATCTGCTAAAAGGCTGAGTGAGCCTCTTCCTGTGACAATGTTCATGTCCGCTTAGCATAAATGTTTTAAAGCTGAAAAACTACAAAAAATCAGATCTGCTTTGCTCCTTTCTGCAAAGTCCTGCTTGTTTCCACCTTGACACCAAAAAGCACACCTTTTGATGTAGTACAACACATGTCCAAATACTGTACCTCAGGGTACTCTGCTCTGTTTAAAACAAGAAGAGAATGGAATCCACACGTTTGCCCTTCGGATTAAGATAATATTAGATCATCTTGGTCCGGGGGTATCCACAGAAAAACTGGAAGGTAAATTGGATTTCCCAAAACTTCTGACTAATTCTGCAAAATGAAAGCAAATGTCGCCAGCCGCAAACAAATTAGATTTATATTGTAACATTTATTGAAAAAAATGCCTCCTTATGTATGTTATTTCAGTATCAAACAGTACATTTAGGGAACCTGCGAATCACAGAAAACTAGCCAGGAATTAATTGATGTTTTTGTCATTTTTTTTTGGGCCTGTATTTAATTCAGTACCAGATTCCGCACATCTTTATTACACGGGAGTGAACTCCTGGAACCGGTCGGACTGGGCCGGCAGAGAGCGGGATTTCTGGACCGGGTCTCTTACCTTGCTCTTCAGCATGTCCTGGACCCTCTCCTGCATGGACTGGCCAGCCTTGGGCCGCACCAGGATGTAGATGGCCCTCACCTCAGGGCAGGAGCGCAGGAGCTTCTCCACCAGCACCTTGCCCATGAAGCCCGTGGCCCCCGTGATGAGCACGTTCTTGCCTGCATAGTAGTCCGCGATGGACGTCATGCCGCTCTGTCTCTCCGTCATCCTGATCCCGGCCTGCTCCCAAGAGCCCCTGTGCACAAGCAACACAGGAGAGGTTACCAACTGTCACCATTGTAATCCCTGCACTTAAGGGCGCTCCAACCCTTTCGTATTTTAGCTGATTATGTGC